GACGACGACGAAGAAGAAGAAGAAGCTTGACAATGATGATAGCAGGATCCTCTCACCTCCTGTCTCCATCTAGCTAGAAGACGGGTCTTGCAATCAGGAAGATGACGCTCCGTCAATTCCTCACTCACACTCCCAGCAGAAGAGGAGACCGAGCAACCTGTGCCGTCGCCATTCTCCCTTCCAATTTCTCCCTGTCAATCATGCAACCAAGTTGAAATCAACATTCATCAGGGTCTCTTGCAGAATGCGCATTTACTATGAGATAGACTGATAGTATGAATCATTTACATGATTTACTGTCTTTTTTTTCTTTTTTTTATCTGCCTCTGCTGCGACTCTTGCGTCTTTCCCCATTCCTAGCACTCAGTTCTCTGTTAGCCCTCCTGCAACTGTCACCCCCATAAAAAAAAAAAAAACAGCCCACTACCGCAGTTTTTCTATCGCCGACAACATCCAAATAACATTATTGATCAGGCCCTCCCGCAGAATGCGCATTTATCGCTTTTTTTTTGTTCTGCAGCTGCTGCAACTCCTGCCTCTCTCAACATTCTCCACACTCGTTCTCTGTTAGCCTTCCGGCATTCGTCACCCCCATCAACTGGCACCCCCACTACCTGCGGCGGCACTGACGACAGCAGTATCCTTACTGTTCCCACTGCCACCACTGTGACCAGTGTTGCTGCTGAGACCAGGCATACATACCACGTGCCGCAAACTGGATCCTTTTTTTGTTCTTTGTATAAAAGGGGCGACGGGCTTTTAGATATCATCGTTGAACTGACTGCCGTCTTCACCCGGACAGAACGCTCGGTCATTATAGTTGTGCATCTGGACAGTAATTTGCCCTGAATACGGCTATAATGACCGGGCGACCGGCGTTCTATTCGGGTGAAGACCGTAGCCCCAAGTTAATTCACAGTTTCTCACTCATCTGATCATATCTGGACTCGAACTTGGGTCCGTATTGCAACAGGTCATGGGTGTACCAACTGAGCTAAACAGTGAGTACAAACCGGATCGTTTTTTTTTAAATAAAAAGTTATTAAAACAGAACCTTACGACTCTGTCTCCTTTTTTTTTCCAATTCTGGGGAGCGTCAGTCCAGTTCCTATTCCACCGGCAAGTCAAAGGAATACATATTACAACTCACTCAAAAAGACGCTTCTCCGGGTTCCCCCCATCATGGCTGGGAGACCCGAGGGACGGCATTGATTACTTCCGATCTGGAAAAAGGATGTACCCCCCCTCACCCCTGCCTACGTTAGCCTATTTTGCTGCTATGCTATTCTGCGGTCTCGCTCAATACTCTCCGATCTGTAGGCTAGAAAGGCAATGCTTCGCTGTTTCCTGCTGTCTGGTTATTCGGGAATGTGGCTTGGGGTGGCTTGGGTTGGTGGTGTGAGGGGGGGTTGAGGGTTGCGGAAAGGGGGTCCAAACATTAGAGTACAAGCCGGATCTCAGATCCGGAAAAAA